GACCGTTTTTGCAGTGTCTGTGGGAAGTATGGAAGCTTCAATACCCACTGTCTGAACTATCAGCTAAACTTTCTAAACTAATTGGAATAAATAGGCTTCAAGTCTAGCCACAGTTGGAAGAGAGAAGTTTCTCAATTGATTAGATATATTCTGAGGTTTTCAACTTGGTAATGTGTTGACAGTTTATACAATACCCCATAAACCTTTGATATTGCAACTACTATGACTCTGGAGCAGGCTTTTGTTCTGTGATGTAACAAAAATCACGCCCTTACACTCTCAGGTTTGTCTGCCCACACGGTTGTGTTTCAGTCTTGGCAAAAACAGTTGATAGATTACATTTAGGATTACTGCCAATCCGCAGGATAGGCTATCTCCCGTCTCAGCCATGATTGATCTACCTTGCTAACTTGTTGCACATCTCTCCTTTTAACACGACACAGCACTACATCTACAGACGGATTTCTAAATCTGTTGATTCACTATAGTCATGAATCTCTGTTCATATGGTAAAGTTTACATTTATAGCACCTAAAAAACCAAGTGTGTAGAGACCTTTGTAGTAAGATACTGCAACCACACAGCTGTGATGCATGATTAAACCTTTTGAATGTGTCTCTAATTATCATAGAAGTAAATTATTTAAACATGATTGCAGTCATACAATATAAAGAAAACTGACATTAAACATAATTGTAAAATGTTTAAGAATAATTATAAGTAAGAAACAAATAAGAGTCAGATGTTAACACAGTGAGTAATATTTGCAATGTATTTACAAAGAGAGAAGTATTATTGTGACTCAGGGCAAACCGTGAATTATTCATAAGGAAACTCCGTCTGTGGAAAGATTCAGCAACCTTATACCCGACACACACAAATTAAGTCACTATAAAAGCACAATGTATCCTGGCTGCATATGATTATTTACAAATATAAGGCATAGCTGTTATATAACATACACATTTCTTTTGGTTTAAAATTCTATTTATATTTTCATAAAATTACAAATATAGGTGTGTATTTATAGGATTTTACATTTTAAAACAGCTGAAGCTTTTATGCTTATATTGTTTTATTTTTTTAAATTTGAAAAATATCCTACTCTGCTTTTCAACATGTACCACATGATACTATCACATTTTGTAAATCTCTCCATCTTTTCCCACTTGGCTCTCCCTTACCAGCACTCTCTCTCACATCCAAACTTTAAATACACATTAAATTAGGCCAAGATAAAACAAGCTGTCAGGTTGTGTTAATAGAACAGATATTTTCACATCACATACCCATGGGTAATAAAGATATCCAGGGATGTTGCATTGAGCATTGCAGGCTAATATTTACACCAGGTGGAGCTGGTCATTATTCTCAGAGCTGTTTGTGCAGTGTGATAACAGGTTTTAAAGGGTAAATAGAATAGGCTGAGGAAGAAAGTTCAAATTTTGACCCCAACTGTCATATGAACTGCTACTTTGCTGCGAAACTGTTCAGGTCATGACCAGTGTTGATAGCAACACCCAGATGGACCAGGTTCCCTATCTGCCATCTCCCATAAGAAGGGCTAGCCCTGCCCTGTAGGCAGCTGTAGCTCCAATTACTCTGGCCAATATGCTGTAGAACTGTGTCAGTCTGAATTATACATGGCCTTTGTTCATCCTTAACCCAAGAGCACTGGAGACAGCGGTGGATCATGTTTACACTCATTCTTCCGCTAAAAAATGTATGAACCTGATTGGTGGCCAAAAGACACCTTTGCATGGTGACCTAGAAAAACCACAAAAAGATTAATTGCTTTAAAAGTCAGCTTTTAGTTAAGGAAAAGCAGAAACAGTTTTTGTATTTCAAAAAAGAGGAAAAAACATTATAATCATTGCAATTTCTGTTTATTTTGATTGTCTTTAGTTCAAAAGTCCAAAATTTCAAGCACACCCCTACCAGCCATTTTTCTGACCTGTGATGACACAAAAAGAAAAGGTTGCTGTGTTGTTAGGCAAAATCATTAGGGAAATCAAGAAGTGAAAAATGAAATGGGAATTAGATTTACCATGTGGACTTTGCAGCTTCTAAGTCATGCGGAGAGGATGCTATAAATATTTTCAGAAAGTCTTTTAGAGCAGAATTTCTTTAGATGAGCTATGTATTTAAATATATATATATATAGCTTGACTAAATTTGATAAATATATTATGAATATAAATATAGAATTGAATAGAATTCAGCTTTATTGTCATTTTACTGTCACAAGTACAAAGCAACGGAATATAGTTTACATCTATCCAGTTGTGCTATGCATATGAGCCATTGGTTTAGAACATACTGACATGGGAGTTGGCTCTACCTGGCTGTGTGTTACCTGGATCAGCCTGTGGAGCTGGCTGACAGTTGCCTTTGTATTTCTGGTTCTAAATGTATGTCTGCTTATGATGCCTTGAACCCCATTTGGTTTCTTCCTGTTAAAAGAGATTTTTCCCTTCCACTGTCATAACAAGCATGCTTGGTTTGAGGGATTGCATCCGAGTCAATGAATCAATGCAATCCGCTGGCTCTCTATAGAGAGAGAACTGTGAACCAGTCTGACTGTTTGGTCTGATTGAATTGTCTCTGTGAAGTGCCTTGAGATTACAGTCTTGTGAATTGTCACCATATGAATAAACTGAATTGAATTGAATAGCACATATGGTGCAATGAAAAAAAGGGCAAATCAGACATATTTCCATGATTTCTTTGTACTGAATTTCATGGTTTAAAACTCCAGTCTACCTACAGTTTTTACCCTATCATCCATCCATCTGTCCATCCATCCGTCATCCATCCAGTTTGTAATATAAAACTTGTTATTTTTTTATGGTATAGGTCTCACCGTTTTTCCACTGTTCACAGCTTTTCATTATATCTATTAGGTCTGACAGTATGAGGCCTGCATAAGGGAAACACAATGTTAAATCCAGCCATCTCATTGTTAGTCATACTTGGTATGTCTCTATTATTCTTTTAGCAAACGTTTAATTTACATTTTTCTTAACTTTCTAAATGTTATCAGGGTTTACAGGTAACATAACTATTGGTAATAATGGCAGATTAATATAAAAAAACAGTATATGTATGAGTATCAAAGCTACTTTTATGTCCACTAAACTCAATTAAAAATTATTTGAAGGTGAAAGTAATTACGAAACTGTAATTAAGCCTCTTGGGAACTTAAAACTTTATGTAAAAACTCAAAGTTTTCTGCCTTGGGTTGCAAAGAATGAAAGTTCTGAGAATAGAATCAATAGTGCAGTCCAGAACATCATGGCCTATATGTCGGTAAGTAGTTTATTTTAGGGGTTATCAGCAGTTTGCAGCAGCTGAACAAACCCGTTTTAGATTACTACAGTAAGTTCAGCTAAATAACAGGTAACCTCACCAGGATCCAAACAATAATTACAAACAAAAGACAGTTTCTTTAAATTTCATAATAGAGAAATGTAACAGATCATATGCCAATACTTTTGTTGAGCATTAACAAGATCAGATTAAGAGTAGTCCCCAGGTTTTTTTTTTATTTCTTTTATTAGATGCCTGTACTGTAAGTTACTCCCTTATAGAAAAAATCCCCACAATAAGTCATACACCCCTATACACTCCTTAAATCAGATAACTTTATTCATAGATGAAATGACTTCAAACAAAAGGAGATGTTTGTTATCCAACATAGATGTTTTCTTTAATAATACCCTACCTATTATAATTCATTCAATTTGAAAGACATGTCCCTTGAAATAGGCCATCTCGTTTAAAGATTCTGTTAGACAATAATACAATTAAGTTTTTTTAAGCTTTTATATCTCAAAAGAGTTATTAAATAGAACCCAAGTACTGCATTTTAGGTTTAAAATGTATGCAAAAATCAAAATAAAACAACAAAACATCTCTGTAATCTGATGTAAAAAATGATCATGTGTGGTTCAGCAGATTGTTTTGTTTCTTTGCTTCCACGTCCTACCCTGCTCTTGTGAGATTCTTGTTGTCTGAAGTACAAGGAAAAGTTTGCATCCTACAAACCATTTAACTCTAGAATAATAGTTATGAATAAGGACAAACACAATAATTGCACAGATAAATAAATTAATATTTAATGCTTTTGATCTTCCATATGTCCTGATATGGTAATTGAATTGGCATAATGCATTAACATCTCTCATTTTTATTTAGGAAAACACTGAGAGCCCCATTTTGAATAAAGACACCAATCCAACATGTTTATTGATTTAACGCAAAAAGCAATTCATATTTCATGGGGAACTTGATAATGCAATTTCTCTCATGTGTCTCTTAAAAAAAAACGAAGGCACAGACTGAGTCTGCTTTGTAAAAACACCAAAATGTCCATCCGCTTATGTAACTTAGCCTCGTGGCTAAACCACATTGGTGGATGGAGTCTGTGAGCATAAAAATTCTCATGAATAAAGCAATATACGTATGAAGGGAAAAGCTGTCTTTATTCACTTATTAGAAAAAAAAACGCCTTTACATCCATATACTGCTGATCTGCCACATGCATGAAAAAGGTGTCGAATAAAACGTTGTATTAAAAAAGAAACAGGAATGTATTAATGTTCAATGTTGTGGTCAGTGCTTGGTCTACATGCAAGCTTAAATCCTAAACCAAATTAGCTCATTTGTTTCACCAACATTGAAAATACTGTGAATTTTATGGTACCAATAGATAACAATAAGACAGAACTGACACGTTCAAAAACAAGTGCCATTGTCTCGTGTTACGCACTGAGTCTCCCACATCAAGAGCTGTGGGGGTGGATGAAAAAAGAAACAAAATTGGAACATGGGAGGGGGAAGGGGTTTCCTCTTGTACTGGGAAAAATAAATAAATAAATCGGCCAGGACTGCATGATGGCGTAGGATTTACCATATTACAGCTCAATGCTTCACTTGGATGCACGTTATCTGGGTCATGCCGAGCAACAAAAAACTGAGGGTAGAATGACATTACTTACCATTCGGAAGCTTGTGACGATTTTCAATCAACCATTCAAACAGGTTGGTGAAGTTGCAGTTGCATACCCAAGGGTTGCCCTCTAGTCTTACCACCCGCAAGGAGGGCAATTGACTTAGGGCCCCCACCTTAAGGGTAGATAGTGCATTGCGTTCCAGTTCAAGTTCTCGCAGAGAAGTAAGGCCCAGGAAGGCATCCTCACTCACCATGCTCAAGTATGGGTTGTTTCCCAGACGCAGTTTGATCAAGCTCCGGGACTCCCCGAAAGTCCCCTTTGGGATTTCAGTCAGATTGTTGCTACCTAGGTCAAGGAAGACCAACCTGGAGGATGTGCTTAGGGTGCCAGGTTCTATGTAAGAGAGGGAGTTGTTCCGGAGGTCCAAGTAAACCAAGTCACTATACAGAACCAGAAAATCCGAGGGGATGCGGGGTATCCAGTTATCGGCTAGCAAAAGCCTCCGGACATCCAAAGGGATCTCTTCAGGAAGACGGGTTAACCCCCGGCCACTACAGTCCACAGTGTGAGGATCTGGGCACAGGCAGGTTGCTGGGCAGTTTTCGCCCCAGGTCCAAAAGACAGAGGACAGCAAGATGAGGATAGGTTGAAGCCAGTGGACCCATGGCAACATGGTCGAGAGGGTCAAATGACTTAGGGGAGAACAGGTTTAGGTTAAGTACAAAATGGAAAAAATGGATGGGGGTTGAGAACAAAAAGACAGGGGTCAGAGGGCACAGGGCTGGTAGGAGGAAGGGGGTGGAAGGAATCAAGGAAATGAAAGGGATCAATCCTCTTGAATGAACATCTTGATGTTATGAAGAGAGACACCTGACAGGACTTAGGAATTGTGTGACGGCAGTACAGCTGAGGAAAACTGTTTTCTAGGAGATCACGTAACAAGCTGCTAAGATAAATTAGCAGTCTGTCTGTTTTAAATGTGTAATAAGAGGCTGATAGTAATCCGTGAGAATAATTGAGGATAACACAGAGGGGGATGTAGCTCTGAAGAGGTAAATTAACAGGAGTTAGCTGGGAGAAAAGAGAAGTAAGGGAAACAGACAAGGGAGAGGGGGGTTGATGAGAAAGCTGTGTCCGCCACACTACCCCACAGTTCGTCTGGCAGCAGGGATAGACAAAGACAAAGACAATGAGAGCTGTGACAAAAAAGGATATGTGACACAGTAATTCAAGCATGACAAGCAAAGAGTTGCATTGCTGCATTCGTCCATTAGTCCGAAGTCTTTGTGCAGAAAAGCCCAACGGTGTGAAAAAAAACAGAGCTCACGGAGCATCGCTCAAATGTGTGGTGATGTTGCCCCCGCTCGCCCTTAAATCTCTCTCTCTATCTTCCAGTGCCCTGCAACATGATGTAAAAACAAAGCCAGGCTCAGTGCTTTTCTCTCCAGCACCATTTCTAAGCTGTGTGAGAGGCAATCCAAATGTCCAGGCAGGAGCCTTGTGGATGTAGGCTGAATTACTGAGCTGCACTCAGCCATGCCAATCCAATGTCTGCCTCTGAATCTACCACGGTTTATCTCATGCCCTCTCCCCTCTCCCTTTTCCAGGGGGGCGTGTCTGATTCATCAAGTCACTGTCAACATGTGATGTCACTTCCTATGGTAAGAAGACATTATTTTTCATATTTCAAAATCTGAAATTAAAGGTAAGAAAGCAATTTTTGATTTTAATAATATTTTTAAGCTGAGTATCCTTAGACATAATATTAACAAATACAAAGCAAAACGTGTAAAATATACATAATTTCCAAGAGGCTTTTTATCATTAATTACTCTGTCACATAATCAAAATATAACAGTTTTACCAGTGTTCCATATTTAATTAAATGAGTGTTCTTAAAATAAAAAAAAATTAAAATCCTAATTTTCCAAATTTTTCTTTTAAAGGGCTATTCTAACTAAATAGTGAGTATGACATAGAGAAATAAACTGAATTATAAAGAAACACAATCTCATGATACCAACTGTGCTCAGTTTCATGCATCGTAAATGGTTTTAAAAACAGTATATATTACCTCACACGGTGACGGGGACATTGCACGGAAAGAGGAGGAAGACCTTGATAAAGTGTACATCGAGGATGACTGGCAAGAAGCCATTAATGTGCTTAATTCAACCTTTATATGTAATACTCTCAGAGAGACACAGTATTCTACATATAACACCTACATATAACACCTTTTTTATTGAATAAGATGGATCGCCAGGTCTCTCCTTTATGCTTTGTTTGTTCCCCTGATGTCTCCCTGGTTCTGGTTTGTTTGTATTTCTGTTGGATTTTTGATTCCTGCCTCAGCTCCTGTGAACCTTATTAAACCCACCTAAATTCACCTCTGCCATCTTGCCTCTGCATTTGGGTCCTCATTCAACACCAAACCTGTGGGAAGAAGAGCGGCCATTTTTGTCTTCTGTTTCTTTGTTACATTGCTGGTAACTGGAGGGAGGCTGAGGCCCAGAGTATCTTGTATATGTTTAGTTTCTTTTGCACCCTGTTTTGAGTTTTTGAGCACAATAAATCACCAACACCGGTAACCCGACTGAGCCTGGATTCTTGGAGGCCAAAGAACCCCGTCTCAGTGACCAAAATCATCACTGTTACTGTTATTATATAGTAAATTAAATCATTATTGTTAAATTGTATTTATTGTCCAACTGTTTATTTGAATTCTTATTCTGGATTAGTTGGAGACATACACTAGGCTATATCAGCCCCACCAAAAATATTTTTCACAAGCCGCCACTGCTGCATATATTAAACATGCCATTAAAATAAGTCTTATCCTTATCCCTTTTGTCGACATGTCCTGTGTTGCAGAAAACCCTGTTAAGAGCTAGGCACCAATGTAGGCCGTGGGTTTTCACATGAATCCACTTCTGAATGACATACAGTAATATATACAATATCTGTCTTCCAGTTTGTGCTGCTTTCAGATTCATTTATTCATGTCATTTTCCCATTGTAGCTTGCACTAAATGACTAATGCTTGAACCTGAATTAGTCATTACCACTTGTAGTAACGTTTTTCTATTCATCGTTATGATATTACTTTACAACTGCAAGGACACAACCACAGAAGAGGTTTTCGCTGGGACACATTAAAAATGTTTCCAGTAGCCTGCTAATGTCAGCAGCAATTCTTTGAATCTTTGGATTCAGATTTTAACTGAGACCAGAAACGAAATTGAGTCGACAAAGGCTTATCTTAATGATTTGTAATTATTGTTGGTAAAAAGCAAACTACTCCAGTTGCCTCAGGTTTGAAGGGTGCCTTTTAAAGATAGCGTGTTTCAACTCCTTTCAAAGATGCTCCATAAGATTTAGGTCAGGTCACAGAAGGCCACTTTAGAATGGTTCGATATTTTTCCCATAGCTATTCTTAGTTTTACCTGTGTTTTGTGTCCTTATCCTGTTGCAAGACCCTTGACCTACCACTAAGACCAAGCGTTCTAGCATTTCTCTTAAGAATCCCTTAATAGTCTTGAAATTTCATTTTACCCTGAACAGATGCAAAACATCTGCACCACAGGAAGTAAAGCAGCCCCAGAAAATAACAGAGCCTATTCCATATTTCACAGTAGAGGAATGCCTTTGACTGTTATCTGAGTGCTGGTGAAGATTCTCAGTCATCCAGGTCATGGTCATTCCAAAAAAGTAAAAAAAAACATTCCACCTGACTTTGATTCCAAGTTTGAAGACATTTCGCTTCCCATCTAGAAATTTTTTTCAATTAAAAATGTTAGAAATAGTATTAAGTTTGAGGCTTTATATAGTAGCCCAACAGAGCCTTGCTTTTGTTTAGAAAACATGCAAATATAAAAGGACGAACATGTGAAGTGACAAACTTTGGGAACTGAATAATGTAAAAGGGTAACCCAACCTTTCCTGTAAACCAGTTTCTGTAGACAGAGAAAGAAATAACATATACACCATCCACATAGTACATGCATTCTGCCTACACAGGTTGACAGAAAGTTACTTTATGAAGTTTACACATATAAAAGGGTTTTCTTTTTTCAGAATTGTATTGTCATTATACTGTCACAAGTACAGCACAGCGAAATTCACTCTCAGCATTTAACTCATGCCCTTGGGGAGCAGTGGGCTGCCAACCTCAAGGTTCCAAGCTCTATGCTCTAACCACTAGGCCACCACTCTGCCTTCATAGAAGTGTTTCAAACAGTTTACAGTATCTGACTAAATATGACACAAACTTAATATTTCCAGGAAAACCTAAACTGATAATGTACTGCAGATTTTCATTTAATTAACTTACAGAAAAATATTATATCTATCTTGTGTAACATCATTACATTCAAGTATTGCGTAACTCATCAACAGCTGTTTGTTTTGATCTCTACTTGATACTTTTGTGCAGTAAACATTACCCAACAACAGCCTCAGCAGAAAGTATTGCATAACTCATCAACAGCTGTTTGTTTCTATCTCTACTTGATACCTTTGTGCAGTAAACATTACCCAACAACAGCCTCAGCAGAAAGTTAATAACACTGATCCTCATTCTGCAGCATTTTTCTTCCTGTTTTTTTCTTCTCCAATGTCGCTTCATGCAGGCCCGGTGTCCACCACAAAATTAAAGCGAATATTGTGGGCAAAAGCTCATCCAGGAGGGCCCAATTACCTCAATTTCAATTGTTTCATGTAATTAGTTTCCTTAGTTAAAAACTTTGTTCTCTATGATCTAATTGTCTCTGTAAAGTACCTAGAACAGAGGTAACGGATTAGCTGACCACGTTCTGGATCTGGATCCACTTACTGGCTAATATAGACCCAGCCTGATTTAAAACATTTATAAATTATCGCATGTTGTCCGACGACAGTGTGTAACTTCACTTGCGCCGCTTCACCTGTTAACCATGTAAAGCCCTCCAGAGCGTCCGGGACCAGGCTACATGTGATACAAATTAGCCAATGAGCTACTGTCAGTCTGGGTCACTGCAGTAAGCCACAGGACACAGCAGTCACACCTTTGGCAAGCCGGGCGATGGGAAAGAATTAGAATACTATGAGAAAAAAAAAGCAAAGAAAGCGTGGACTACTTGAAGAACCGCGATGAACTGGTGACAGAAAAGTGAAATGGCGTGCTCAAAGACGACCCTGCACATTTTGAGTATTTTTAGCTCAACCTGCTTCTGTGAAGCCAGATTCTCCACCATGACCATAGTCAAAAATAAATATTGATCCAGGCTCATGAATGAGGACCTTGATATGTGCTTGAGAATGGCTTTTTAGCCAATCAAACCCAGGTTTAAATACCTTGCAGGACAGCGTAAAGCCCACTTCTCTCATTAAGCCATAAAAAGCAAAAAAATAAATGGTCAGTTCAGGTGTTTTATAAAATATGTGAAACAGGAAATTGTTGATCTCTAGTTCAAAAGTTAAGATTTTAAAATGGAAACATTTTGTATTTTCTTCATATTTGAAAAGTCAATGTATACTATGGATGCATAAAAATCTCATTTTATTTTAGTGTTAAATTCTGTTTAAAGTAACAGATTATAAATAAAAATGTCTCCGGGCCTTTACTGGTTGATGATTTTCTTTATCCAGACCCCACTGATTTTTAATTAGTTACCCCTGACCTAGAAGATGACATGTTTTGTGAATTAAACAGAACTAACTAAATTGAATTGAATTGATTGCATTAAAGTAGGTGTCTTTGTAATACTGTGCATAACAAATGACTGTCAAAAAATATGAAGTCTTCTTTATTGTATTAAAATAAAGCTTAAGCCAAAATTCAGTCTGGAAGACTCTTATCAGCTTTAACTGAACCACCTGTGATTACCATTATTCAGCTCCAGCCAATTAACTCGGGCCACATGCTCTCCTAAGCCAATCATCTTTCAAGATCCCCTTCATTAAGCTCCTGGCACAGCTTTTCTCTTCCGCAAGCAAGCAAACTTTCACCCATTTTCACTCGTTCTTCTCAACTCACTCTAAGACTATTGTCAGTCCCATCACCCCCTCACTTATTCCACCACTGGTGTCCGGGGCCTGGGGGAAGACTACTTATATCCATTTCCTAGGTTACTCATCTAGAGCGAATATTGATTCATTCCATCAAAGTGTTCTGCCAGGGCTAACAAGCTAAAGAAGTTATTAAATTTATGTCATTATCTCCTTCCAGTTCCTTGAACTTCAGTCGGCCTCGGCAGATGGCCGCTCACACTGAGCGTGGTTCTGCTAGAGATTTCTTACAGTTGAAATGGAGTTTTCCTCTCCACTTTTGCTACATGCATGCTCATTGTGAGGGATTGCAGAGAGAGACTTAGTCATCACAATCAGCTGGTTTTCCTTAGATAGAAAGAAATATGAAGAATCTGATTGTGTTACCTGTATACATACATTGAATAATACTTTTTTAGTTGTAAGTCTCTCCAGGTTGAATTGGTATTTATTGTACAATCATATTTCAAATTAATCAGACCTACTTTTCTTTTCTTTAAAAAATAAATAAGCTGAATTGAAATGCACTGTACTTAACAA